TCCAGTACATTAACACTGCACTGAGAGAGAGAGAGGGGTTAATACACACACACTGACTGGACACTCCAGTACATTAACACTGCACTGAGAGAGAGGGGTTAATACACACACACTGACACTACAGGAGACAGTGAAAGAGTGGAGATCACAGAGAATCCCACACAAAACAGGACAGGAGACAGAGAAAATAAAGGATTCTTAAGTAAATGGAATAAATGGATAAATGATGTTAGAAGTGTCTTGATAAGCAGAAGGGTTTGTCCATCTCCTTATGAGTGAAGGGTCATCTGTGGCGTTGTTGTATTTTGATCTCACTGCCCTTCCTTAGGTACCACCTGGTAATGAAGCTCCGATTACAGCACTGATCTAACTATTATATCGTGTTCTGCAGAAAGGCAAAAAAAATGATGTCCTACAAACTAAAATTGCCAAAGGACACATTGATATCCTACTGGATTATGAAATTTTTACAAATGCATGTAAAACCCCTTCAGTAAAAGAGTTCCTCTCTGAAACGACACAAGACACAAGACAAGCAGAGATTGTATTGTACCCCCACAGTCCAGAGATCGCCGGTCCAGTTTGGGTCACACTGTACCCCTACAGTCCAGAGATCGCCGGTCCAGTCTGGGTCACACTGTACCCCTACAGTCCAGAGATCGCCGGTCCAGTCTGGGTCACACTGTACCCCTACAGCCCAGAGATCGCCGGTCCAGTCTATCACTGATCTCATCAACCTGACTGGACTGGGGCCCTCGAACCTTCCTCCGGACAGCACCGGCGGCGGGGAGACAGTGACAACACCACCGCAGGCTGTTCCAGGAGCAATCCGCCCTCCTGAAACCGTCTCGGACCCCGGGCGGGCGGGAACACCGACGAGGGGGCTCAGCACCTGTGCCCTCTGCTCCTAGAGGCCTGTGGGCGTGTGGCACACCGGTTGCCAAACAGAGCCGTCGAAACCGCCAACACCATGAATCTGTGACAAGACACGGTGCTAAACGGAGCCCTCCCCCTCCCCCACCGCCTGTCTCCTGAGGGGTCCTTTAAAATAATGGGCTGCAGGAATGCGGTCGTCCTGAAAAGTGCCTGATCAGGTCTCCGGGGGGAATGGGGCGCTCAATCCATTGATGGCGCTGCAGGAGCAGGGGACGGAGTGCAGTCCTGCCGACGAAGCAGAAACAGCGGGCCGGAGGAGGAGGAGGAGGAGGAGGAGGAGGGGGGGGGGCAGACACCGAGGCAGAGAGAGTGGTTAGGGGCTGGAGAGGGAGAAGGCAGTGTCCATCAACCTGGGACCCTCTCCTCTCTCTTCATCCCTGGATCATGGTGTCCACCTGTACTATCAGGTCTCTAGAGCACATTTACAGGCCTGAATAAAACACTGTAGACTCTGATTCCACACTGCTGAAGCACTGACTCTGACCCCTGATTCCACAC